GCCATCCCCCCCGCTCCCGACTGGAGGCGTTGTCACGGTGACGCACAGCTCCGCATTCTCCTCACCCTCCTTCGCTTCCTCTTCCAGCTGGGGTTTTTCCACCCCCACTTGGCCTTCCTCTACCTCAACCTCTTCCTCCTCGTCTTCCTCGTCCTCGTCCTCCTCTTCCTCGTGTTGCGGCGGCTGCTGCTGCTGCTGCTGACGCTGTTTGTTGCGGCAGCACGGTTTGAACAAATGGGGGTCGATCAGCACCTCCCCGAAGCGACCCTTGTAGATTATTCCGCAGCAAACCTTCTGCCTGCATCAAAAACAGACAACATGACTGAAATAAACACAGGAATATTAAAACTCTGTGTTTTATACTGCAAGGAATTTAATACAGCACGTTTTATTTTATTTTACATATTCAAACTCAAGGTCCGAGGGCCAAACGTGGCCTGTGGGGGGCGTATGTTGTGTCCACCAGTAGACACGCCAATTATTTTTACTGCTTAATCAAACATATAAAACATAATTTATATAATATATTAAATAAGTAAATCGATTGTAAACTTTAAATTTATGATTCAGACGGTGWAGCTGCATTTTTGCCCACTAGGTAGTGGGAATTTCCCACTTTCAAGTCCTAAATTTTAAACTGAACTGCCCMTCCAGTGGGAATTCCCAGTTRGAAGGTGGGAGAGTTCTGAATTCATGACGGCGTCTACTTATCACRACTCAACAGTGAGTAAAACTCTCTTGTTTGTACTTTTCATTGTATTTTTGTAATATTAATTTCACATGAGATCAGTTTAAAACTGCAGGATGTGTGTCGTGTGTGACTCTTCACTAAAGTGTTTAAATGAGATGCACGATTGGAGCCGTTTCATCAAAGTGAATCACAATCAGAAGTGTGTGGGTGAACCGCTCTCCAAGCCAACACAACTTTGTGTCGTTTCAAATCCAGCCGTACCTCTTCCAGTAGGTCAGGTCCAGGAAGGAGAAAACCGGGGAGCGGCTGGAACCCGGGCTCAGCTCGGTGTCCGAGCCGTCGTCCGACAGGTTGCTGTAGCTGGGAGACTGAGCAGGAGAGGCGCTGGAGGTCGTGCTGTGGGCGTCTGAATCTGGTGACGGAGCGGGGAAATGACGTTAGAGACGGCAGAATAAACACACTGCAGCCGAGGTACACCAGGCACAACTGACTGTTTCTTTTGAGATCTTTCTGCAGCCTGTTGATCTGGCTCGGCCGGGCCTTCTTAGAGATGGACTTGATCTTCTTGGGTCTGGAGGTGATCTTCAGGCTGGGGCCTCCTCTGGCGTCAACAACCTGTACAAAAACAAGATTTTAAATCTCAAACAGATTTTGTGAGGAGATTTTTAAAAAAATGGCGGWAAAGTAAAAAAAAAAAACGTACATGGTTCCAGTTTTTCTTGGTTCCCACAGGAAGCTTTTTCCACCGCTTCACAAGGAGCACGCAGGCATTACAGATCTCTCCGGAACGTGTCTCGCTCAACCTGCAAGACAATTTGTTAGGTTTTCAGAAAACTCCATCACAAAAAAAATTTAAAAAAAAGAGTGGTTTGTCTCTTACCCGAAGCAGCTCCTGAAGTCCTTCTCGTACCTCTTGCTGTCTGTGAAACGAGAGCTGGACGACTTTGCACGGCAGATGCAGCATCCGTCCAAACTCCGGTACATTTTGGGCTTGTGAAAGCCAAACATCTGGGTGGATATTGAAAAAAAATAATAATAATAATTATATTTTAGCCCCTCAGACTTTAATCTGTGTGCACCACCAGTAAACTGCAGCACTTGAATCACACCAAATTTTTTAGCATATCAAATATAATGACAAAATCTTAGTCATTTTGTACTGAATATTAATGACTAGCTGTGGCAGACCTATTATATTGGATTGACTCAAAACATTAATCAGCAGAGGTCCAACAAAGATTTAATTTGTGAGAATTTCATTAAAATCTGATCAATGGTTCATGAGATATTTTGCTAACAAACAGGAAGTGTAAAATGCTACAATATTAGGCAATGATCTGACTTAATTTCTCAACTCAGACATATTTATTGTGTTTTACGACACAAAAACAGGATTGCCCTTCACCTTTCCAGTGCAGTCTGCAATAAACCCAGTCAGAATATGTTTTTAACTGCTGTTGTGTGTAATATGTTTAGTCATCAGCATCCAGCCCAGCTCCAGTCGGAGCATCTCTGACCCACATGGTGGAAGTAGGTCAGCAGTCAGACAGATCATGTCATCACGCTGCGCTCGCCACGGTTCACGCCACGTTTTGGAAACTGGCTGCACACGTTCACTGCGAGCCCGCAGGCAAAATGCAGCTAACTGCTAAATACACACAAGTTAAAAAATAAATAAAATACTGTTAAATTATACCGGAAGAAAAAAAAAACTAGTCTGCAGGAAAAAAGCTGCTATAACCCCAGAGGTGGGCTGATTTGTGTTGCTGGGCAAAATTATTCTTCGGGACACATGTGGACCTGAACTGCGGCAAAAACTGCGAGCCGCGCCCCCCAGACTGGATTTTTTTTTTTTTTTTTTTTGCCATCAGTCCTTGGGGTCCTCTGACAGCCACAGAGAGCAAACAAAGAGCACATAAAATTGCAGACCGCTCACTCTGGCTGCTTTATTGCATCAGTTTCTGTTTCCACGCTATAGGTAGAAAAAAATAGTTGATTTTAAATTAGTTTCCTGGCTCATAATTCTGCAAAAGGAAATCTATAAAAACTACACCTGTTTGTAAATCTTTTTTTATATATCATATCAGAGCTAAGTCTCTGAATAGGAAGACAAGCAGAAAAAAATTAATCCTTGAAAATGCTGCAGACGACTCACTAGAAAAAACAGCTCAGATGATGGACTTTTATTTAGTAATGGGTTAAATTAAATATAGAAATATAGAAAAAAAAACACAAGCAGGTAAACACACCAGTGTCAAATTAATCTGAGTCCATAAAGTGAAGCAGATTTACCACCTCTAGTATCAACAAGGCCTATGTCCTGATATTAACTGTGCTTTTTATCTCATGGAACAAATACAGTAAAAATATGTTCCCAGTGTGACTTAAATTAAATCTCTCCAAGTACTGATACTGACATTTATTCTGCTATATTTAAATATATCTTTTAATATACCGTGCAGCTTTATTTGGAACGAGAGATTCACAGTACACTTTCAAGAAAAATATGAAAAAACAAAACAACACAGCTTAGACTTCAAAACAATTAATTGTTATTATATTTCAATTGTTTTATTCTTTCACATTTAGCGGCAGATTCAATTACCTTTGCACCTAATTGTTCTCAGATATTAGTGTAAGTTAACTGCTAAAGCAAGGTCTGCTATTTGAACATAGACGTGTGTGTATTTCCACAGTAATATCAAGATCTGGACTAAAAGCTCCGAAAAACATTTCTACATCAACCAAACACACTTAAAAACAACAGTTCAAATGGAAAATAAAGATACGTATAAAATGTAATTATTGTATCATTGTAAAATTATTTAAAATGTTTTTAAACACAAATTTTTCATTCGTTAAAAAAATGCAAAATGTAAAAGGAAAGTGAGTCGAATAACGAAAATGTGTTAGTGATATTTTTTTTAAACTGGTGCCCTAACAAAATGCACCTACACAGCTAAATTTGTCTGGCCCTATAACGCAACCATTCAGCTGCTGCAAAGAATGGCGGCCCTTTGGTTGCTAGCCGGTCCATGCACAGGCCAGCACCACATAAAAAAAACTACAACCGGGCCAGCTGTGGCATGCCACCATTGCCAGATCTGGTTGACACTAGTGGTGTAAGAAAATATCGATACACTGAAATATCGCGATATTTCATTTCCCGATACTGTATCGATATTCTAAAGCCCTGTATTGATTTTTTNTTGTAGTTCAGCCTCTGACCACTAGTTGGCAGCAGTGAGGCAGCCATTTGGCTCCTCTACCTCTTGAGGTGTTTGGTGACCATATTGTAAATTAATATTAAAAACTAAAAGCTGCAAAAATATATATTTTCAACCTATTTATTGGCAAATTTAGTCTAATAATTGAAAATATGGATGAAATAAGAAATATGAAACAAACAAAATAAAAAACATACAAAGCAGAACACAGCTAAATGTATCAAAAGTATGTCTATGTAATATTAGAATTTTCTGAGACAATGAATTTTGGTTTTTCATTTTTCCCCCTATAAGAGGTTTTTATTTAATAGAATTTTTGGACCAAAAAAATCACAATATATCGCCTTGCTTACAGTATCGCAATACATCGGGATATATCGTAATCGTGACCCCCTCTGTCATGATATGTATCGTATCGACAAATTCTTGCCAATACACAGCCCTAGTTGACACCAGGTTTGACCCGCACTTTATTTTCATCTCCGCGTCGGTCATCGTCACAACACAGACGATCTCTGCAGCAGAATACAGTAGCGTGACGTCAGCCAACATGGCAACACGCTTCGGAGGCGGAGGCATTGGAGAAAAGGGGGTGTGATGCGACTCTCCGCAAAAGCTGCAACGTTAGCGAGTAAAATGTGACAAACCACAACCTGAAAGCTGTCGCATCTGCGTGAACAACACGCTGGGCGTCTTTTAAAAATAATACTTTTCGAGTTGTTTGCTGAGAGGAAAAGTGCGTGTCGCTCATTTCGAGCCGCCCACTCCGGAGAGGAAGCATGGCACGCCACACGACCTGCTTCTTGCGCACCCATTTTATGACCGTCCTCTCTCTGCTCTGAACGAGAAGCCCACCTTTCCCCCCCGACTTCAACATCTCTCTACAACAACTTCACGTTGACGCACGACATATATAAAACATGTAAAAATAACCTAAACGTACACATTTAAACAGATCTGTTGGCTCCGGTCGTGTAATTTGATCTTTACTCTTTTGTTATTACTCGTCCCAACATTCAACTGCATCATGTGCGCGAAGTTCAAAGCGAGTGCCTCCTTTTTAAAAAAGCAAAAAAAGTCGTTTTTATCCACGTCTTTGACACCGGGTATTTAGGAGCAGTTTGAGTCGGATAAATAAAATAAAAATGAAAGGATTCAGGAAGAGTTTGTGTTTTGTTGACAACAGCAACCCGCGTTTTGATACGCATCTCCAGTCCCGGGTGGGCGTGAGACACACAACTATTCAGCAGAAACAAACACCTCACAGCCTGCTGCGGTCCTTACAGAGGCCGTGTTTCTGAAAGAAACCACGGTTTGTTCGAGTTTAGTTGAATAATAGTGGTTTTCCCCACGCGGCGGAGCAGTTATAACAACAACAACAACAGCAGGAGCAGGAGCAGCAGCCTCCCTCTGCTCCTCGTGCCTGCCTGCACGCGAGCTGACTCCTTTTAAAACGCATCCTCGCGGTTATTTCGTGACATTTTTTTAAGTATAAAACGTGAACAGTAGATGAAGCTACACCACGCAGCAGGCCATGTTGGAAAAAATTGTTTCGAGACAACGCGGAGCTTGTTTTTAATTTTAATTAAGACTTTAAAACCCGCCGGGGGGAAAAAGAAGAAGAAGAAGAAGAAGAAACCGGAAGCGACCGCCGTCCCTTACCTTGCTTGAGGACTTTCTCGACGCTGGTGGGACAATAATAATAATAATCCTTGAGGAGGTGATGAAGAAAACCAACCCGCATCCGTAACCCGCTTGTTGATGTCTGAGCTCGAGAGGCGACCGTTGGGGGTGGGGGGCGGGGCTGGATAGTTGTGAACTCAGTGCGCATGCGTGACATCCACGCCTCCATTTCAGAGCAGAGGGCTGCTGCTGTTCTGCCTTTTTATTTTTTTTCTTTCCTTTTCTTCAATCAAACAATTTGCATAAACGACGTATGACGTTTGCGTGCGTCCGCGCTCCGCTGGCCTTATAAGGATGGAAACATTACGCGGGAACAGGGGGCTCGGCCGCGGTTGCTATGGCAGATTGGAGAATGCGAGCAGGGGGGCGGGGCTTGTTGCTTTACTACACGACGCCAGATGGCTGGTCTGCCGAGGGCCTGCAGCTTTCAGGGGGYTCGCCGTCTAGCACCGAGGAGGGCTTTTGTTGGCTTGAAATGCGCGAAAACAACCAGCTTAGTGTGAAGTACAAGGTGGGTTATATGTTTTAGCTGTAGCCACTGCACAGCAAAAGCTAAAAGATTAAACAAAAAAAGTCACTCAATCACATTTATTTAGTCAAATGACTCTGTACACAGGAATTTCTGAAAATACCTGCAGTGGAGACATTAAATAGCTGATTAACTAACTAATTTACACRCAGTAGGGCTTTTAGTTTAATAATGCGGGAAATATGCAGTTAATAATACACCGCACTGACTGGAACTAATTGTAACAAAATAAAATTGTTCTGGGATAAATTATAAATCTGCTTYGGGAAAAGAAGATGACGGCAGATACTTTACTTTTTGCAGCTTCAATTAAATCTATAAAAACAAACACATTTACATACTTATAGGTGGAGTTACATGGAAATTCCTCAATAAAAATTGGGATTTGTAATGATTTAAGTGCCTGTGACATGCATATACATCAAATACCAAAAGTAAAAACAAAACTCTTTATATTTAGGAAAGTTGGCACAATACATACAATTTTAGCAATAAAACATCTAGTGGTGCATGCATTCAGTTTTGGAAAGAGTTCATTAAAAAATATGACAATTATGATAAATTATAGTGGCCCTCAGAGGGCCATTTGTAATTAACTYTGACGTTTCATGTTTAACTTTGAGTAAACAGAAAACGTCCCATTCCTTGTCTCGTTGCTGCTGCTAACAAAAAAATAACTGAGCTCTACGTGGTATTTCTTGCATAGAAACAGCATTTTAACACATCCTCTTACAAATGTCGAAAAGTATTACGTGTACAGCTGACTGATTGTGAAATATACAGAAATACTCTTAAAAGTTAAAGTGAGAGATTTACTCTATTGAGATGAGGCAAATCTTGAATTCTGACCTCTCCCATGTTMCGACACTRAGATGCATTATGGGAGATGTAGTTTATAGTCAATGCTGGCTTTAAAGCAGCTTAATTTGAGACATTTCAGGACTATTGCTCATAATTCTCACTTACAGTAATTGTGGCCCCCCTGAGCAATAGCCTTGTATCCTTTACCTTTAAATGTGTTTATTTTGTTATATTGAATCATAAAGTTTACCATTGATATAAAAACTATTTCCAAATTAAATAAAAAAATGAATAAATTTAGTGGTGCCCTTGAATTTGATGCGTAATCTAAAACATATTTTTCTCTACAGCCTGTGTTGTTAGCCATTGTAGTGGTGCTGTTTACATGCCGTCATTCCCCTTTGACATCACTTCCTGTTACTGCACATGCAAATATCTCAACGGTTCATCTCAACGGCGTGAAAATAAATACATTTATCTTTCAAAAATAAAATTATATTACAAAAATTTAATGTCACAGACACTTTAATTTATTCTCTATAAGATATGTCAATGTGTAAATAGACAAGAAAAACATTTGTTTTGATTTTGATGGGACAATTTAAAGTTAAAAATGTAAAATAAAACAAATCTGTCAGCAGCTAAGAGAACGTTAGATCCTAGTTGATTAAAATGCCTCACAATCATTATTTTTGACTTAATTTGAAAGACAAGCCACAAATAAGTTATTTTTTATTTGACAAACACAACGTTAAGCTGTTGAATGACACTTACATATTTGTTTTGCCAAAATAAAACCATGATTCTCTGTATTTGCCAGGAGTTGTAGCTTCATTAACGAAACATTTAGAAAAAAAAAGTTGCTAATATCTCAACTTTGAGTAAACAGTCTGTAAAATAACAGAGAAACATCACAGTCATCTCAGTAACTTTAATGGTCAACAGCACACTTCATAAATAATTCCTTATTGCTTTTTCTAATCTGTATTTAAACAACAAAGACAGTCATAGTGGGGTACGTACAGTAGTGCTTGCAGGATAGTGCAGTAAAAACAGCATTTTAATACTTGTTCAGCTGGTAAATTAAACGCCTTATCAACATAATATTTACATTTTTATGAACCTGTGCTCTATTCATCGTATGCATTTAGCAAAAAATGACTCAACAGTTTGGATTCAAACAGCCTTTCTATTTTTTCACTTAAGAAAGTGTGACCATTTTTGGAGTCTATTGTTCACAGAAGCTAACAAAATGCCTTTAAACAGGAAAAAAAGTGTTTACAGCAAACTCAACAACTGGAAACGATTCAAATGGATGGGTAGAGCGAGTGTCTCTGATGAAGCAAAAATATTTACAATATGAGTCGAGGGAGGGGAAAGATTTTCTGACAAAAATGATAACAGCACTTGGACTGACACAATGAGGACACCAGCTGGGATTCAGTGTTTTCACCAACTCAAGTTTTCATAAGCACACGACCTCGAACTGAAATAAACAGAGCAGACGTCACACTGAATAACAAGAGCTCTTCAACAGTTTCATGTTTAAATTATACAAACAGAGCACTATTACTCTTGACTATACAGTATTCACTATGATATTAAATAACAGAATAACAAAGCCTGAGTCATGACTGTTCAGATTATAACACCCAAAGTAACGAAATCCTGGCCATGCATGTTCAAAGTTCAAGTGCGAGCAGTAAGTCGGACAGTTAAACAYGGTAAACTCATGTAAGGGGGAAAATATCTAACGCAGGTGTGAGATTTCTCCTGGAGGAGACAGGGTTTCACAGTGTAAACAGACTACGTCTTGAAGCAAGTACAGTTTTATAAAGACATCTAGATCAGCGGAACAAGGCAGATATGTTTGGTGCTTCAGTAGCCGGCGTCTCCGTCTGCTTCATCTTCATGATGAAGTCACATTTCTCAGGTGTCTGAAAGGACCCGCAGCTGGAAACTCATCAGAGTCTTTAAGAGCAGGACCACGTTGGGGTCAGAGGTCAACCCCTTTCACCAGCGCYGCCTCCAGGGTGACAATAAACTCGTTGAGGGTTTGGAGAATCCGACAGAGGGAGTGAATGGCTGCACGGTCCCGCAGCAGAGCTCCGTCCTCGTACGTCCGAGGGGTCAAAGGACACTCTGCCAGCAGGGGGAACCACTGGGACAGAAGTCTGTCCCTGTCCACAGAAACCACAGACAGTTAGCTGATTATAAAACTACCACGTTAACTTTCAATTAAAGAAAGACAATTATTTTCAAACAGAAATTAGCTTTAAAGGCGACACATCATGCTTTTAAATCCTTCCTTTTCACATTTAAATCATTCAGYTCTGGTCTATGTAAAGTGGAACTGCAATTCAACCTTTTTGCAATACAAGTACACAACAGGATAAATGGATTAACGGGTAAAAAAAGTGGATTTTACATCATCATCCCTTTAAACAATCAGTAACGAGGATGTTTTTTGTCACCCATGTTGCGTCCGATCCCTAAAAACAGGTTTATGCTGTTCAAGGTTGTTGTGCTTTTGCTCACCTGATTCCGAGACAGACAAACAGCTGGAACTTTCCCTCTTTTCCGATGTTTCGGGGCGAAGCGTTGATGRCGTTCACGTAGTGGCATAGTAAATCCCACGGTGGACCCGTCGTCAGCATCGATCCATGCATGTCACCCATCTGATCACTGGCCTCCATTGAAACCACTGCTTTCTCTACAGGAAAAGAGTTGAAGATACTTTCAGTTCAGCCTGGTGACACAGCAAGATAAATGTCGATCTTTTGCCTGATTTTCCCCTCCTGACAATCTTAAGGACACCTGATTATCGTGATGGCCCTAAAGAGAATCTTATAGATATTCCTGCCACGTGTTATAAGAGTAGGCATGGGACGGTATGAAATTATGACGGTATGATAACCTTGGGCAAAAATATCACAATTCCGTGGTATGATGGTATTATGATTACAGCTTTAAAAAGTTTTATTTTGAAATTGTTATTAAAAAAAGAAAACATCTTTTCTATTATCATATTCAACTTTAATTATCTTTGGAAGCTGTTTTTAGATCTCAGAGGCTTTATGCTGAAATTTTATTTACCTGTGTGCATTTATACTTATGATTTTTAGCACCTAATGCAATTAGGTTATCCTGATAAAGTTTACATCTAGTAAGATAAACGCTTTTTTACTACTTTACTTGTTAAGACAAGTCAGTGTATACTGCACGACAAGTCTTTTTATTGAAGTAATGTATCACGTTGGGAGTTTTTTTTGTGGTTTAAATTTCAGAAGGGTTTTTCACGTAAAGATTATATAATTATATGCACATAGAAACAAGAAATCACAACTACGAATGCGTGTTTATGAACCACACGTTCAGCTTGGCTAAAGCAGGCATTCAGTTTCATCGCCTTTCTTTCAAAACTTATCAAATACACAATCCAACAACTCAGTTTTGCAGACAAGTTGTGATTGGTGCATTAAGCCACAGCAACACGGTGATATGTTGCACAATCTGATGCTAAAGTTAGCTCGTTCATTTCTAGATAGCATAAACTTTACCTGGGGCTGCGATCAAGTTAGATGCGTTGCCTCTACGGTCCACAAGACATTCTGTCTGTCTTTTTTACAGCATCCAAAGTATTTTCATATAGCTAGATTTATTATTTTAGACAGGGAMAAAGTTTGGGGAACCCTCTGCCTTCAGCTGTAACCCAGAGTGTTACGGTCTGTGTTACGGCTCCTCTGTGCAGGGGTGCACTGGGGAGGGGTCACAGGGGGAAAGTCTGCAGTGGCACAGACCAGAGGAAAAACAAAATACACTTATACCGTAGAAATGGTATGACAGAAAATTTTAGTTGTTTTCAAACTGTGACTTTTTCACATCACGGTAYACTTTGAAACTGGTATTTGGCCCATGCCTAGTTAAGAGTGATTWAATCGGCTCAGAAGGASGTCKGGACCTCTTTCGATCTCAAATCAGGGATATTCAACATGTTGGATGGTCTTCACCCGACAWCCAAACGTGTGCGGTGTTCCTCGAGGACAAACGAGCTTGCAGCCAATCAGAAAGCCAGATGACAGAAACATGGAGGAGTCAACCGGCATGGAGCACCATAAAGTCCTGTGGACATTGGAGGCGTCTTTTTGTATAGTTTTTTTTCTCAAACTATCACCATTGCTTCTCATGTTTATTTACTTTGAACTCAGGTTTGATCTCAAGAGATTTTGCGAGATTTACCGCCTGACATCTGAATGTTTGTGAGTGAAATCTTTTTTGTGTGTTGTCTTTGCTGTGTGGCTGTACACCACACACTGTGCAAAATAAACCTGTTAAATCTATGAGTTTTTCATGTGTGGGGTCTCTCAGGTTTTAAAACCTTGCCGTGTGAAACAGGCGCTACACTTTGTGGCAAGAGTCCTAAGATAAAAACGGACACAATCACCACTAGATGGAGACAGGAAGTAGAAATATCACAACACCAGCCTTACCTACRAAGTCCCAAACGAACACGTTCCTCTGGAAAAGACGGTTGGATCGGAACCCGTGGAGGAGGAACTTCTCCACAGCGAGCACAAGCCCACCTTCGCCACAAAGCAAGACCGTCAGATTCCCCCTCTGGGTTGACACAAGAGAAGAAACTAATGAGACACGGTAAGAAAATACTTCAYGTTCTGATCTCTTCATCACAATAACACACCTCCTGTTCAGGTTTGTGGAAATGTTTAACCAGGTTATTCGCTGCCTCCCTCAGGTCCTCCTGAACTTCAAGAGAGCTCATCCCTAAGAAGACAAACGAGGCGTAAGAAATATACAGTAGCTTTACAGAAAAGTGATACACCAGCATGATCTGTTATTACGATGAGCTGACAAAGTAGGTCAGCTATTGTGTTGGAAGTACGTGTTCTGAGTTAGCACGTACGGCTTCGGCTGCCAAGAGAGCCCAGCACGTTCCGCACACTCTGAGATGGAGACGTCAGCTCCGGAGGAGTTCCTGTCCATCGTCCAGAATCCTCCTCTGCACCGGGTGTCACCAGCTGACCGATCAGGACTCGCTCCAAGCTGCCGTCACCCACACCCTTCCCCAGCCACCGGCCACACGGGAACCTCGAGGATCAAAAGATGCAGCGTTTTATTACATTTTAAATAGAAAGAAAATTATCTACAATTTCAAAAGGTGAGTCATGTGTTAATGTTTAATAAAGAGAGATAGTGATTTATAAAAGCAACAATTTATTCATAGTTGAACATAAAAGTGCTGTGTATGTAAAAGGTATATATATATATAAAGAAAGAGCTGGAGGAGAGTTTTGCATCAGGTTAGGTTAATTGGCAGCAGTTTCGTTAGAGGTCTGGGTATAAAAACAGCATTTTAGAGAAGATAAATCTCTCAGAAGCAAAGATGGATAGATGTTCAGTCTATCGAAAGCTGTGTCTAAATTTAGTGGAACAATTCAAGAATAATGTTCCTCAACAATAACAAAAAAAAGTGAGGACTTTAAATCTCCCATCATCTCCAGCTCATAACATGATCAAAATTTTTTAAGAATCTGGAGAACACAGGCAATTTTTGAAGCCAAAAGAAGCTGCAGGGATTAGAGTTTGTTCCTCCAAATCTGACGCCGTGGTTCTCCACCGTAAAGGGGTGGAGTTTCCTCTCTTGGGGGTGGAGCGTCTCTGCCTCAAGTGGAGGAGTTTGAGTATCTGGGTGTCTTGTTCTCAACTGATGGCAGGATGAAGCAGGAGATGGATCAACAGAATGGGGGCCTCATCCTCAGTCATGAGGGCGTTGCTTCGGTCGGTCGTGGTGAAGCCATATGTGAACACCGTTCAGAAACTCTGGTCCAAAGCTCATTTCAAATGGACTGAGGCAAAGTGGGAAAACTGCTCTGCTCTGGTGTTCTTTCTATAGTTCTTGTCAGTAAGCAGATTATTCCAGATTCAGCTGCTGGGATGTCACAGTCAGCATCTACCAACGATCCGAGCGTTAGCCTCACCTGAAGGTGTGTCCCGTGATCTCGTTGTACACCATCACGGAATCGACCAGACACTTGGCCAACAGGCCCGAATTCTCCTGCACCCCCAGCTGCAGGGTGCTCAGCCTGCCCAGGTTCTTGCACTGAAACAAGCATCACGGGGAATWTTTTTCCTTTACAGTAAACATATTTCGACTGCGCGCGTGTTGATCTGAAAAAGTGGAGAGCACGAACCTGGAAAAAGATTTCTTGTGTGTTCTTTGGGACCTGTCTAACTCCTGAGTCGCCCAGTTCTCCGGACACGCACACCCAGGGGTTAACGGTGGCCATGGCGATGCTCAGCTTCTTCATGGGTATAATAACAACGCGGTATGGAATACCTGAGAAAGGATGCCGACAGTACATTAATAAAGCTCTCTGCGTCCATAAAAGCTACAAGTCTGAATTCTTCCTGCTACTTACTGACGGAGGTGAAGGTGTGCGTAAARCAGAGGTAGTCCACGGTGTTGAGAGACAGCAGGTGGAATAAAAACTGCTCCCGTTCTTCCTCGCAGAGCAGGAACGCATGAGGTCTGTACAGCTGTCTGTTAGAGGGACCTCCATCAGAAAAGCTACAAACAAACAACAACTGACAGCTTGAAGGAACGGTGAAGATTCAGACCTGAGCAGCTCCTGGTTGGCCAGCAGCTCTTTGAGGTGCTGAGACAGCATTTTCTTCTCCAGAGCCAAATGGATCCAGGCTCTGGTCTGACCCACCTCAGACAGATCGTCTCTCATGGTTTGGATAAATCTGGGGAGAATGTACAGGCAGGCGTGACTGGACCAAAGAAAAACACAACTCTAAAACATAAAAGTCATTTCATAAGCTAGTGTCGTCATTTTAACACTTCTCTTCATAAAACCAGGGGATTTTCATATATTACCTCATGTCTTGYATTAAGGAGCTTCTCTGCAGCAAAGTGCCGTCATCAAGCAGCTTCTGGTCCAAGCAGTTAGACCCTGGACAAGAAGAGAGTTCGACACAAATGTTCAGATGGTTTTTAATTGAATGATTTTTAAAAGAAATCCTGTCAAGTTGTGCTCTGACCTGATACATCAGCTGGTCCCTCCGTCTTCTCCTGGGCAGCCTGGTAATGAAGCAGATGGGACCAAAGTGCCGACTTACCCTGAACAGAACAAACGCAAACGTCAGACCTTGACTTTTAGTTTCCAGTTGGACACCACCCTCACGAAACGTTGGTCAGATTATACGTCTGACCTGTTTGAKCTGCAGACCGTGGCCCCAGGTTCTCTCCAGGAGATCACACAGACCGTGGATGAGCGTGTTCTCCTGCAGGCCTGTGATGCTGGCTTCTCCCTGACCCAGCTCCACGCACTCCTTCCCCATCCTTTCCATTAACATCCGCTTAGTCTTTAAAAAAAATAGAAGAGAAAAGCCATAATAAAAAAAGAGGTTCTGCATTAACCTTGAGCTGTTATGATGAAATATTCAACGACAGCCGTGCATCTGTTGCTGCGCTCACCTTCAGACGACATTCGCTCAACAGCCCATCGGCGAACTCTCTGTGAGTCTGAGACACGGCCTGAGGCGACGGGTCGAGTAGTTTGGACTGACGAATGATTCTCCTTGCAAAGGCGTGCCTCTGTTCAACAAGATAAAAGGGTTAAGCATCAGATAAAAGCTTGTGAGTTGATCGGTGTCTGAGTGAAAGACGGTACCTGTTTGGGTTCTTTGTCCTCTCCTGAGGGATCWACAACCGTTGACCTCTTGGGTTCGGACCTGCGTGAAGCCGTGACGCGACTGGACCACCTAGACGATGAYGATGAAGTAAAATGTACCGTTTACTCYGATGAGGAGAATCAGGAGGGTTTCTTTCTGACTAACAGCAGGAATCGGAGGCTCACTTGTGAGTGTTGTGCGCTTGCGCGAGCACATCCGCCTGCAGCTTTGGGAAGTATCCTGGGTGGTGACGACCCTGACCGATCCTCATGTCCAGCAGGTGAGGGTGCAACGCCGTGTGGTCGGTCTTCAGCAGCCGCTGCTCAATAGTCTGAGCTGCAGACAAAAAGCACGGACGTCATGTTCATTTGCTACTGAAGAGGAAAATAAAACAGTAAAGTTGTACCTGAGGGGATTAAACTGCTGCTAACTTTAGGAAATTACGTGAGCACCTTCATACCTGACTCGGAGAGCGTGGTGCACTTCCTGTAAGGACGGTTGCGTGACTCCTCGTCGCTCAGGTCGTACAGTCGCTCTCGATCCAAACGGCTGTCAAACAGCTGCTGCAGCGGCTCCCGGTCCAGCCAGCGGGACAGAATTTTCCCATCCACGAAGGACGAAAACATGGACGTYTCCAGGAACCGGGATAAGAAGTGCAAGTGGGCTGCTGGCTGAACGGAGAGGAAGGAGCCCTAAAACAGAGAGTGAACTCAATCAGATGATTTACCAATAAAAACAAAAACTGTTTTATTAGATCTGTCGTCGACTRAGGTACCTTATCAAAGCTGCAGGTTCCCTCTCGGTTGCTCAACCAGGAGTCTAAATCCGTCGCGCCGTTGACGATAAACTCCTCATACCTGCCAAAAATGGCAGCGAAACGGACAGCGAACACCTCCCTCAGCTGAATGTTCAGCTTGGAAGCCTTCAGCTCCTCTTCCTCCTCCTCGAACACGTGTCCCAGCGTCTTCCCTCCCTCGGACGCCGTTCCTCCTCCGCACCGCTTCGCCAGAGCCTGAAGCCTCTCCAGCRCCRCCAGCTCCTCTCCTCCGAGGTTCCCGTTCCTCCTGTCCTCCATCAGGTCCTCCAGCACTAGGCTGCTCAGGCGAGGGGAGTCGGCGGCGGTGACGGTGGCGCTCGCTGCGGGCTGAGTGGTCGCTCCTGCCTGCGGCGGGAGTCCAAAGTGCAACAAAACCTCGCTCAGTTCCTGAATGAGCTCAGTCTGGTCCGGGAACAGGGGGAGGTCCTCGGGGGCTTCGACGCAGTGGTTGTCGATATCAACAAAGCACAGATTGGCCTGCGGAGAGGAATGGAAAGGATTTTCCACTTGACTTTAACCAAWCAGATTTATCTCATGAAGATAAAGTGTCTGAGCTCCAATTAGGCTGCAGGATGAAGGAACTCCATTAACAAATTCTTTGTGTTTCACTACGATAAGAGCTCGCAGGCTTTTATCTCGTGGGGGATTGTCCAGCGTTATCACAGCAGCTCGAGACGTTGCGAGAAAATGGTGTCAGCGAGGAACAACGTGCAGAAAGAGGTGCAAACCTGAGGTTTATAATAAATACATTTACTTTGTTACAGTACTTGAGTCATTATTTTGAGGATTTTTGTGGTTTAAGCATGTATGTTTTTAACCGTAACTTTTACTTTTATTTTGTTAAATTTAAATCATAAAAATAAAACTTAGACTTTAAAACACTTTAAAGTCTAAGTCACACTTTAAAATTTAACGTCCAGCTGCAAATTTAATATGACAAATTCATCAAGAAAACGTATGCACTCTAAACAATACTCGTTTTAATGGAACCAGTTTGATTAAGTAAATTAAGCACTTCAATTCTTAGAGTGTGTGTAAAAATACTTTCAGTTTTTTTAGATTATTATGACTTTTACTTAAGTACTTTTCTTATCAGTGAAATTAATTTTTACCAAAGTCATTTCCTGTTAGGGTATTTTTACTTTTACTTAGTTTTTTTTATTTCAAATACTTTGTAGACCTCTGAAACCTGCTGAGCCTATCGTTGTCCAGGAGTAAGAAAGATGGGCAGCAATTTGAAAGAAAAAAAAAGCCTCTGTAAGCAGCAGTCAGCGTCAATGCAACCTTCAGCAGTGACCTGAAGCTGACAGCTCAAAGCCTCAGGAGGACCCTGTGCAGAATCATCCCCCACACTTTTCACTTTGTATCATCCAGTCAAGGAAGAAAAACGATGCACCAAAGATAGAACAACACCTCAAGAGGTCATATTTTTCAGAAACAACACAAAATATTCATYTATTTGCCCCCTAACAAAAACCTTCTAGAATTTACCCAACAATTCTCCACGGGATTAAACATAAGCTAGAAAAAAATAATCCCATTCTCTCATTTCCATTCATTATTCATTGAAGCCCATTATTTTGGATTAGTCAGCTCTGCGTTTTTCTTTTATCTCCTCCCAGGAGCTGTCTTGCTGCCGCCGTTTTCTGGGGCAGAGCGACTTCAAAGAGGATTCAGCCAGATTTTCGTGGAGCAGAAAAGGGATGTGGGATGCAGGCTCGGATTCAGATTTGGGACATCTCTGAAGGGAAAAACAGAGCGCCAGTTGGACCAGCCAGAGGCAGGGGGGAGAGCTAAAGAGGCTTCTCAGATTTCTTTATATAACCGTCTCGCTGCATTCTGAAGCACAGACCAGCAAAAAYGCAGTTTTTTTTTTCACATCGGCTCCTCGTTTAGCTCGATACCTCGTGTGGAAGGTGGAGGGAGGATCTCTGCGCTCCGTCCCTGCGGTGGATCCCCATCAGGAAAGGCACGGGGGCGTCCAGGAGGTGGTGCAGTGGCGTGGAGATGATGGGCAGGTAGACGTGCTGCCACTGAAACGGAAACAGCAACGTGGTGATGCTCTCCGCCACCATCATCAAACGCTGGTAGTCTGGAGGGAGACAAGAAGGAGATGCTGCCAACGTCAGCTTCTTAAATCCAGACGTCAGGACTGAAGTCACGTCTTATCTTTTAATTAGCAGGTTAAAAAAAAGCTAAATTATTAATAAGTCTTACTTCAAAGAGCCAACATTCTGATTTTCATAAAAACACAAATTATATTTTCCACTAAGACAGATTTTTATTCTTTAATAATATCCGCAAAGTGTTTGTGTGAAGCAGGAGTTTATTATTTTGTCTGACAAATTAGCTTTCAGGCCGGTGTTTCATATTGATATAAAGAAACAGCAGATCAGTTCACATCTTTTAAAGCAASGTTCTGTGGAAAGGGTAAAAACGATTCACTTACTGTTGTAGACAGCTACATGAACAACCTCAGTTTGGAAAAATAAGTTTAATTCAGACTAAACCAACGACCTAGCGGCTAGTCAGAGCAGGGGTAAGGCAAAAGGATTGCTGCCATCAGCAAAAGCTTTCATCCACAACTGATTTAGATGACAGAAGAGAAAATGAGAAAAAGTGTTCCAATATTATTAATACTATTATTAATATGTTATTCTAAAATTGTGCAGCTCTAACTACTTTATATACTGTAATTATGTGTGCATAATGCTAAAAATTTTACCTAAAAATCATCCAGAAAGTTGGGCGGGGGTCGTATTATTATATATGAGAATAAATTTTGAAAGATTTTTTGCTCATGTATTATCACAATACTCGTATATAACTGAAATATTGTTTCATGGTGGATAAATCATCATAATTCCCCTCCACTCACTCTCTCTCTCACACACACACACAGTAAAGTATAAACATATAAACAAAGTCGTTTGTTGTTTTATCTAAATGAGTATCAGACATTTAAAGAGAGTTTCGTATTGTTGGATGAGGAATCAGGAGGAATATATATATTTTTTGTCTGGTTAACCCCAGAGATGGGAGGAAGACGTGGACTTCAAAGAAGTCTTTACCGGTGTCATGCAAAAATATGTAGCCCCAAAATAATCAGTTTCCTTACCAGAGGGTACACCACAAAGGCTGAAAAATTCTGAAGTCTGTACGAAATTACGGGTAGCATCATACACAAAAATCAGTTTTTTAATGCTTTTTAAGCTCAAAAAATGGGGGGTCACATTATACTTACATAAATACTGTACTTTTACATTGCAGTCAATTATTGTATTTCATGGATATTCAGGCAGAAAAATAACATACCTCGATAGAAGTGACCAGGCAGCAGAACTAAAATATTTTAAGTTGGAGTTGTTTTAGGACAAAAAAAAATCCACTTGTTTTGTCTACACCTGGATTAAGAATAATTTCATTAATTTTCTCTGAATGAAACTGTTTCTCCAAACTGAGAGCTATCTACAACAGGTAAGATATTAACTGTTCACGTCCTTTCCACAGAACCCCACTTCCAAATATTTGAACTGCTTAAATTAATCTTGTGAGGCAGTTCAGAAGCAACAGATCCATCTTCCTTTTGAGCAGTGAGTGGTTTTTAATCCTGCCGAGTCAGGAGCTTACCCTTAGAGTAGAGCAGGACTTGTGTCTCCAGCAGTGCACAGGTAAGTAACTTCACCATACTGTCCACGCCCAGCAGGGAGAAAGCCTCGCCAAGAGGGTAGTCCCCCAGAGGAAGCTCCCCTTGTCCGGGCCGCTGGCACACGATGGGCCCCTGCACCCCGTGGAACCTCAGAGAGCGCCCAGGCGGAGGCAGGGGCACCTCGTACAGGATGTTGTAGACGTAGCTCTCCAGAGGGAGGGGTGGGGCTGTCTGCGACGCCACGGCCTGGTGAAGCTGAGCCAGAAACTGACGAGAAGCTTGCAGGAAGGGGAGCGGCGTGATGAGGCAGAGGGCCTTGGACACGTACAGCGTGTCGCGCGCCGCATCGAAGGAGCCCACGCAGCCGAGGCAGCCGGAGACCCCTGCCAGAGACTCGGCGTCTGACTCCTCCAGGCTGCTCGCGAGAGAGTCCATGCTGGAGGAGGAGGGCGAGGAGGCGGAGGAAGACGAGGAAGAAGAGGACGAGGACGAGTGGTGCTCCACGTGGTGCATCTGATGGAGCGTCTGCATGGCAGTGATGATCTGGGGACTGGTCACCGCCTCGTAGAAGGTGTGAACAAAGCCGTAGGAGCGCGTCCCGTCGTCAGAGGCGAGCGTGAAAGAGTGAAACCGAGGGTCCAGTCTGTCCGCCTGGGTGCAGAAGGAGAGACCTCTGGGCATGCAGAGCTGGAAGCAAGAAGAGCAGCAAAGAAATGTCAGAATTAACCGGAGATTTAAAACTCACCATTACTAGTGAGCTCTTTAACTTATGAAACATCCCTTCAGTGGCTCGTCACACATTTTAAAACCATTGTTTGAGAATATTAAAGCACTTTATATCTTATATCACTTATATCTTCTGATTGCTCAACACTGCCTTGTTCTTCAGTCTCATCTCGAACACATTTTTAATCCCTGGCTTCTGATTCTGTATGAGAGTGGATGTTTGGTCTTAATAGACGCTTTTAAAAAGTGCATTTTGAATAAACGCGACACAAAACTAAAACTTTTCTGTAAGGTAAATCAGATTAYTGCTCCAAATATCTGTATGTTGTTCAATAAAAAGTGTCTTAAACCTAAAATAAAACAAGCTAAACATAAATTCTGTTTTGATATTCATTCATCTTTACTAGGAGATACTTAAAGGGCCTGTGACATGCTCATCCTTCAAACACAAAAAGTCAAATAAAACATATTTGTATTTAAGAAAATAAGCATATTTCACATGATTTTACCCATTTTGTCTCATAAATGGCATATTTTCTCTTAAATTTGGCTCAGCAAAGTGAAACAGGAAGTGACATCAAAGGGGAACTCTTGAGGAAATGAAACTCTCTAGTCTTTGTTTATTCAAACAATCTTTTTTAAACTCTTCTTCAACTCTGATRGTGACTCAAAATAGTCTAAAGAAACATCCGATTCTTCTCTAATTATTGTAGCATCACTCTGTTTACATGCAGACATTCCCCTTTGACATCCCTTCCTGTTTCTTTACATGCAAATATCTCAACAACCGTTCATCTCAGCGGTGTAAAATCTGCTTTGCAATATGTTCTCTTTCCAAAAATGCATTCATATTTATTACAAAAATTTGATGTCACAGGTACTTTAAAAATGATGCCCAAGATAAATAAAAAATTACAAACGAAAGGTTCAAGTAAAACAAATCCACATCTGCTGCGAGAAACAAATGTTCCTTCAGAGCTTTCACGTGCGACCAAACATCTCACCATGTTGACAGCATCTTTGTTAAACGGGTTCCTGTCCGTGTTTTCCGGGTAATGCACCAGAACTTTGGACTTGAAGGACCGCYGGATGGGGCTCTGTTCGAAACTCTCACCTGAAAGTCAGAGAGAAAACAACGTTTTTGTGAAATTCCCTTCAACCAGAGTTAAAATTAGAGGATGCAGACAGGACATCTGCCGCGGACTAGAAACATAACGTTCATTTTTATTTTGCTGCTGGCAGAGAGGACAACGCCGCTGTTCCAGGGAGGAAAGAGCCTGGCGAAGGTTATATAACTCCACTCAATACCATGAAAAGACAGACGGTTCAACGCAGCTCATCTCTTGACACTGCAGCAAAAACTCTTTGTGCATTCACTCAAAGAGAGAGAGCTGAATTTATTTGAAAGTATTTTGAAGAGAACTCGCATATTTTATCTGAATTCCTGCAAATGCAGTTCATGGATGCACAATAAACCCGCTGAGGTGTAAAGTGCTGCAGCACGTTTAAAAATGTGATTCAGAGGGTATAATCTAATACTCATCCACATTTTGAGTACTTTTTTGTTTGTTCACTCTCCAGCATGAAGTGGATTCACTGACATCAAAGAGCAAAATCCACAACAAATTAAAATCCAGCATCCTCCTGTCCCTCGCAAGSTTTGACGCAGCAGCGGGAACGTCCATTTCACCTGCCAACAAGGTGAGGCACGAGACCTCGAGACGGCAGCACCGACACCGAGCGAGGAAAGGAGTTAAACAGAGTCACACCGGTGAGCGGGGGAGGCGGCCGGCACTGAAACCAGTGCGAGTCGGTGCTCTCTCTCCATCTCTCTGTAAGGGACACAAATCGGAGGCTGAGGAGGCAGAATCAAGACACAGAGTTGCCATGGCACCCGTTTCCGCCGTGGCCTCGCAGACAACCATTAAAACGAAGCTTTTGTGCTCGTCATCGGTTATGTCATCTCTGGTTTCATCAGCTGGAACAATTTAAAAAAAAAAACACCCAGCTCCCGGTATGAGTTCCCAGTTACGTGTTTAACAGAGCAGGGGAGGAGGTGGGAGGTTTGTTTTAGWGTTTGAATTGAAGCTGAAATGTCTGTTCCAGTTAGGCTGTAATCACCAGCTATTAGCCAGCTAATTCACACATCACACCTTATATCAGCAGTAATTACAACTCCCTCGTTGTTTCACATAACGTGTCAGAAAACTGTGACAAACTAYGCACGTACATGAAAAATGGTTACATTTCAGTCAGTTTTACTGACATTAAGCTAAAATTTGATCTAGACACAATATTAATGTGATCAAGATTTGACTAAAAGCAGCTTTACCTCTGTCTTTTCTCAGCAAAAGATAATCTGAGTCTAAAACTCAAACGAATCATTTCTCAACTGCTTTTCTCCTCCAAACATGGCCGCCCTCTCGTTGCTGTTCACTTTAGTATTAAATTATGTGTTTCATAYGCTTTCCACAGATTAGACCATCCATCTCTGGGATTTACAGCCCTGAAGTTGGCCTCCGTTCCTGAAACGGCTCCATTCTCAGCATGAAGAGCCATAAAAGTGGACATCACTCACACTCACAGGCTGAACCGTCCCATTCATCACATCGTTACACCAGCAGATGAGGGCAGACCTAACAGAAGATGGCACTGACTGATGCCAGTTTTGTCGTGAAATCACAGATGAATAGTTCTCAAACTCAAAACAAGAACATCGAGTCTGAAGAGGGCTTGGATATTCAAACTGACACCTGGTTTAATCTGCTGTTGCTGCAATCTTTCACAATGTGCGGTTCTCAAAACATACAGGGGTCAGACAATGAAACTGAAACACCTGGTTTTAGACCATAACATCCCCTTTCAGACAGCTTCCTCTTGCGTCCACAGTTAGTCCTTTTGGATGTGGTTCATCCTTTTTGGTGGTAYGCTGACATTACTGTAGCTCTTGATACATCACAAAGACTTGCTGTCTTGGTCACAGATGCACCAGCAAGACGTGCACCAACAATTTGTCCTCTTTTGAACTCTGGTATGTCACCCATAATGTTGTGTACGTTGCAATATTTTGAGGAAAACTGTGCTTTTACTCTGCTAATTGAACCGTCACACTCTGCTCTTACTGGTGCATTGTGCATTTAATGAAGATTGGCCACCAGACCGGTCCAGTTTAGCCATGAAACCTCCCACACTAAAATGACAGGTGTTTCAGTTTCATTGTCTAACCCCTGTATGTTGAGGATGACTTTCAGCTGCTACAATATCACATTTTAGTCCAATATCTGACTGAGTTATGGACTTTTTGTTGTTCAGCTGTGGCAGCCATCTTGAATCAGGTTGACTCCAAAAGTTTTTTAGTTGTAGCTCTTCATSCATTGATTACATTCTGAAAGTTTCAATAAAACTTGTCATCGATTCAGGGGGTGTAGGGAGTCCGGTTTGGTGGCCTCAGGATAGTTGTTTGCAGATGATGTGCTCCTGTCAGTCTGCAGCTTTGCAGACTCTGTACTGGTCTGTTGTGGTGAAGATGGAGCTGAGCTGTAAGGYRAAGCTCTCTTGTTTACAGGTTGGTCTACGTTCCTACCCTCATCTATGGSCACAAACTTTGGGTAGTGACCAAAARAAYGAGATASAGGTGGTCRAAATGAGTTTTCCCCTCARAATAASTGGACYCTCCCTTAGAGATATAGGGTGAGAGGTTCTAATATCCAGGAGAGACCCAGAGCAGAACTGCTGCTCCTCCACATCGAGAGGAGCCAGTTGAGGTGGTTCTTCTGGTAAAGATGCCTCCTGAACGCCTCTCTAGAGGRGTGCTTCAGGCATGTCCGACTGGGAGAAGACGCCAGACACCCTAGAGAGGCTATGTCTCTCGTTTGGACTGGGAAAACCTTGGAGTCCTTACAGAAGAGCTGGAAGAGGTGGCTGTGGATTGAGAGGTCTGTGYCTCCCTGCTCAAGCTGCTGCCCCTGAGACCCGACTCCAGAACGAGTGCAAGATAATGGATGGTTTCAATAAAATCCAACAGTTCTTGATMTACTGTATTTTGCAAACAAACAGATCCAATCAGGTCCAAYCAGTTGGTGCTCAAAGTACRTGTTGGGAATAACTCTCAGCTACTATCACCTCAAACTTTAGCTCATTATTTGTAAAACTAACTGAATTACGGCCATCTTTATTTTAGCTAAGGTCAGYTGGTTGTAAAGGTCATTTTGTTTGTTGGTAATGAGTTTTTTGAGGCACCTTTAAGGCTTACTTAAAGTGAATTTCTGCCCTGGATAAGAGCACTGAACTCTGTAGTCAGTTTTACAATTTAAAGCAGATCTGTTCGGTCAGAGAGTTCTCCCCCTGCACCGACGTCACACACCCCCACCCCCCCACCCTGTGACCACCACCAGGCCCGCCGTGCAGCCTCGGACGTCCAGCATTCCAACAGGCAGACTCGTGTGAAATGTGATTAGGCTGCAGAAAACACTGGGCCGTCTATTGAGAAGCCAACAAGAGCAGATTGTCTCTTCGTGGGCATTCACTAATTACACCATCGCACAACAACAGATGCCACGTTACCTCATCCTTCATGTGTCTTGCCAAGGTTTTTTTTTATTATTATGGACGACTTGTTTGATGTAGAATGTGTGTACAAAGAGACAAAAAAGAGCAGAGACTCACACATGAGCACTAGTCTAAGTTAAGTAAGCAGCTCAGATGGCATGGTCACTCACTGCAACAGTTGGGGGGTGGACATCAACTTGAGCGATTGGTTTGAGCTCTGAAAATTCATGCAACGCCAAATAAAGCTTGACCTAAATGAGCTGTTTTTATTAATTTGCTCTGTGCTTTAAGTCGGACCCCTCCCCGGTGGAGCTGCTAACAGTGAGGACATGGGGAGGACAGGGTGTGACTATTGTSTGCTGCTCCAGAAAGCTGGAAGTGACGTTGGGCACACTCTGATGGTTCTGTTTCCTCACAAACAGACACAAGCAAACGTCACAACCCCTGCAAAAAAAAAAAAGGGTCCTCAAAGAAAATAACACCTCATGATGGCTTTTTTAAATTCCTGAGAACAAACAGAAATAAACCCTGCTGTCATCACATCCATTCTCACAAACTAACATTCATTTCCACGGCTTTTGTTCCTCCCACATCCCAGATTTACAACATTCTCATCTGCCCTGAGACAAAGGAGCCACGACACGGATGATTCTCGGCCTTTTTGTGACTCCGGGAACACAAAGATCCCAGGTCTGCCATCGCCCTGAGCCTCTGYCTCGGTTCTCCAGCTGTGTTCCAGCTTTACTGAGCAGGACAGGATGTTGTTGTTGTTGTTCGCTCAGCCTGGTTCTAGCTGCTGTGTTCCTGATCCAAACACTGCAGAAAAAATACTCACAACTGACTCATTCTAAAAACAATAAAATATAATACAAGGAGCAGTGTTTTTCTCAGGCAGAGGTCACCCAAAAGGACCAGACAGTGCAGATAATTAGTGTCTAAATGTCATTTTAGATMATTTGAAATGCGTTTTATGTGATTTTCTATTATACTTTGATTTATAAATATGTTTATTTTTAATAACGCCATGATATCTGAAGCAATCATTGTGACAGTGTGGTTGTTACATAAATCTGGGGATATTTTCCTGCCCATATAGGTCATCTGAGAAAAGCATCACTAAATAAATCACAACGCAATTGTCTTTATGAAACTGATAAATCTGTCATAAAAAACATTATCTTGTAGCTGTGTGGGTGTTTTATTTTAAATGTTATTTCCTGAGCATTTACCCGCTCCATCGTCCGGCTCCAGGCCCGTCTCCGTGTCCACTCCGCACACGACAAAATAGTGGGCGAAGCGGCAAGAAGCCGTCGGTCCTCCGGCGGCTCCGGTCATCCTGCAGGCGAGGACGGTGCGACGGCTGCCTGGTTACTGCTGCTCTAAGCCCCGGGCTCTCATCGCGGAGGAGGTGCGGTGCGGGTGGTTCTGTTCGGTGCCGCTTGGTCCGGATGTTCCCACCGTCTGACTGGGATGGAGTCCGGAGATCCAGCCTTGGTCATCCGAGGGAGGAGGCTGGGGGGGTGAGAGAGAGAGAGAGAGAGAGAGAGAGAGAGAGAGAGAGAGAGAGAGAGAGAGAGAGAGAGAGAGAATAGAGAGAGAGAGAATAGAGAGAGAGA